TAACTTTTCCTCCCGAGTTTTTCCGATACCAGAAACCGACACCTAGGAGCTCCGAGTCTTTCAGGTTGCAGCCACGACGCTTTTCATTAATTTCTTTATCAACAACAATAAAAACAACAACACTCCTAAGAGGGGAGAAGGGGGGAAAAACAACCTCAGTTCTTCCAGCAAGATGGCGATTGCACGTACATGTAGTCTTCCAACAGTTAAGCCCTCCGCCAAGGCTGGCAAATTAGGGTTAATTCATTTAGGGAAATGGCTCTTCAAGCCCCTGTCGCCTCTTACCCCCTTCGCTTCTCGGGAACTTAGGTTGAGAAAGTGTTTAAGTAAGAGGAGAAACTCCACCTTGAAAAGCCCAAACAAACAGCTCGTATAAATCTCCACTGTCTTTTAGTGGGGGACAAAATAAATCGGGGGGCCGGGGGCACGAAGGCAAGTTGAGCTGGGGAGTGATGAGAGGTGTCTGAGATAAGTCGATAAGTGGGGTACTTAGGCAGTGGGGGTGTTGTGTCCCCCTCCCCTTTCCCTCTTATGTAGACATATAGTACTTATTATTTTGATCCCATTGCAGGCAATGAAGTGCGTTTGGGGGTAACGGGGGGCGACTGAATAAAGACCCCATTCTGCCCCTCTTCGTCCGAAGTCAAAAGGAAGATCCAGATGCGTCCCCAAGCCAAGTGCCCCCCAATTCCAAGCAGGGGGCTGCCAGGTGGACCTTGGGGGAGGGGATGGCTGCAAACTTCCCATCTAACAAAAAGGAAAGTTTTCTCAGCGCTAGGACTTGGGGAGGGGGCAGCTGGAGGACGGGACCCACAGCATGGGGGGCGAGGGTCCCCCCAGAGACACCCCCAACCCGGGGGGAGCCGCTCCCCCCACCCTTCCTGGCCAGGTCTTAGCTGAGTCTCGGCTGGCTCGGGGCTCCCTGTGTTAGTTGGGGTCTGCTCCAGGGCTCCCCGCGCGGCTCTTGGGGCTCTTGGAGTGCCGGAACAGGGGTTTCCCGTTGGCCCAGGGGTGCCTCTTGCTTGTCGCTTTCCCTCTTGGCTGGGCTCCCCTCGGCTGCTTCGCTAGGGGGGAGCAAAGGGGAAATGTCGAGGCGCCCCACTCGCACCCAGCGCCGTTTGGGGCGCCCTGAAGCGGCGGAGGACGGCTGCAGAGGGAGCCGGCCGCGGGGACCAAGAGCACAAGGACCGGAGCAGCCGACGGCAGTGGTGCGGAACCCAAGAGCCGCGGGCAGAAGCGGGAAAAAGCCGCTTTAGGCGGCGGAAGAAACACAGATGTCGGCGGCGCGGCGCCATTCGGGGCCTGAACAGGCAGCCAGCAACCCTGTCCTCACCGCGGTCCGCGCCTGAGCGCTAAATACCCGGATGCGCCGGCTGCTGCCTAGAGAGCCAGACACAGAGCAAGAAGCGGAGGCAGGGCGCAGCAGAAGCTGTCAGAAGAGGTGGGGAATTGAGTCCCAGAGAGAGAAAGAGAGAGAGAAAAAGAAGGCAAGCAGGAGCTGGGCTTGGGCACAAAGCAGTCCCCAAGCCTGAGTGCGGACACCTGCTTCCCTGAAAAGACTGGTGAAGCAGAAAGGCCTTAGCCAGAGCTGCTTCTCAGGAGGGGGCATTCTGGAAGAAGACTGTCCCTGACCACACCCTGCCACCAGCTGCCTGGAAAGACTGTCAGGAGGGGACATCCTCCTTGGACATTTAAAAAAGAACTCTTGTCAGAGAAACTGTTGGCGAAAGTTCAGTATCATCTCACCAGGATCTTCTGTACCACGCAGGCTGCTGGGAAGAAGTCCCCACGTGCCTAAAGAAAGTTTAGGACCATCCCTGGTGGCTTAGACACCAGACTTCTCTTTCTGAAGGGAGACTGCGCAGCAGGATGACTGAAAACTCTACCACGGCACCTGCTGCCAAGCCCAAGCGGGCCAAGGCGGTCAAGAAGTCCACGGACCACCCCAAGTACTCTGACATGATTGTGGCCGCCATCCAGGCTGAAAAGAGCCGGGCTGGTTCTTCACGCCAGTCTATCCAGAAATACATCAAGAGCCACTACAAGGTAGGGGAGAATGCAGATTCCCAAATCAAACTGTCCATCAAGCGGTTGGTCACCACAGGTGTCCTGAAGCAGACCAAGGGTGTCGGAGCTTCAGGTTCCTTCCGCCTGGCCAAGAGTGATGAACCCAAGAAGGCTCCAGTCAAGAAGGCCAAAAAGGAAGTCAAGAAGGCTACAACACCCAAGAAAGCCGCTAAGCCCAAGAAAGCTGCTGCCAAGTCACCGGCCAAAAAGCCTAAGCCTGCAGCCAAGAAAGCCAAAAAGAAGCCAGCACCAGCTCCAAAGAAAGCCAAGAAGCCAAAGACTGTCAAGGCCAAGCCGGTGAAGGCCTCCAAGCCTAAAAAAGCGAAAGCCTCCAAACCCAAAGCAAAGTCCAGTGCAAAGAAGTCGACCAAGAAAAAGTGAGGGGCGAGTTTGGGACTTCTTTCTTGGAACTTCTTCTTGACCTCTATTCTGTAAATAGATTTCTTCTTTATTCTCTACTCATTTCTATTGCAGCTTTATAAAGACTGAACAATTCTTGCCCTATACTTTAAAAAAAATATTCATATGGAAGCTACATTGGGGGTTTTGTTTTGTTTTTCTATTGTAATTTGAAAGATTTTTATGTCATTATTTTATTTCCCTTCTCTATTAAGGTATGCAATACATGTGTCTAAGCATGAGGGAAGATTAATGAGGGAAATCCTAGTGTTCTTATTTTTGGAGGAAGATTTGAGAAATATTTGATGGAGGGGATGTGTTATATATGGTGGGCCTCCTTTAATTGGATCTCCTCGACTGAATATACCCACAACTGATCATTGTAAATGCCTTTTAAGAAAAACAACTGTTTTATCATGGATGAATAAGCTTCCAATTTAGCTAATATGGTGGATGATTGTTTCTAGACCTAGTGAAGGCTGGATTGGTTGAGGTTAATAAGCTTTCCACTGACTTCATTTTTCAGAAGGGGACTGTGCTATTTACAGGAAAGATTGAAATGGGGATCAGTAAAAAATATTGGAAATATTTGTATTTCTCCCTATTAACATTTGTACATATTGGCCACATTGGAATAAAGTGAGGATGTTAAAGCTGTTCCTCAAAAGAAAATAGAAATAATAAAGGGGGGAGGGTGCACAGACTCTGATCACCATCTGGTTCTGGCAATTTCAAGAGAAAGTGTTACAAAAGCTATCTGTTACCTGCTATTGCAATCTGGATGCCTCCCAATTCTGCAGTGTCTGCCACCTAAAATTACAACTTTTATATAAGAAGTATAATCTACAAGATTCCTCCCAGCCTTCATTTTTTAATTATGGTCTTTTGAGGGTAAGGAAGAACAAACGTTAGGGGATAATAGATAACACAAACGTAGCCAATATTGAATCTAGGAAGCTGTATACAATTATTGCTAAGATTTGGAATGGTTTTCCCCCAAGAGGGGAGTGAAAAACATAATTTTAAGTACTCCAGATTTTAAAAATTAAATATGCTTATGTTTAAACAAAAGAAAATTCTTATAGGATTGATATCTGATCATTCATTTTACTTTGTATGTGTAATTTTGTGCAAGAAAGATTTAGCCGTCTTTGTAATTTTAGGGTTTAAAATAAAATGTAAAACAAACTAATATTTTAGTTATTCTTCATTTACATTATGTTGTGTAGAAATCATTTTTATAACATTGCAGATTGAATTATATATCCTCAACACTAGATAGAACAAGACCATTATTCTTGATCAAATATGTTAACTTGAAAGGAGAAAGGAGACAGTTCTTTGGTAATGAAAACAAAGCAGTCAGGAAAAATACGTGCTCAATCCTAGGTTTCCCCATTCTGGTGTTCTCCAGATATTATTTTCCCACTCCTGTATCAAACATATCTGGGTAGCATGTGTTTAATAAAGCTTTATTATTCTATATAGACATAGCATTGCTGGCAAATTAAGGAATTGGATATTTGACAGGTTGAAAAGAAGTTTTCAAGGAAAAATCAATGTAACTCAGCCACCAGATGTCAGCACAACAAGACATAATCTCATTTTACTATGAAAATGTGTTTTACAGTAAAAATATCCAATCTGCTATTTAGTTCTTTGTCTAAACCCTGTGTGAACTATAGACAAAGTTGCATTTACATTACAGATGTGTGTGTATGTCACAATTGTCTGCTACAATGTTGAAAACTTACATATGGATTGCAAACACATTTGATATTAGAACCATCAGATGGTCCCCACAGTGTGGTTTGGAATTTGTAATAGAGATCAGAACAACTTGAATATTTGTGGAATGGAGAAAGTACTTTAAAGGAACAAATACATCTGTTCCTCCAATAATACCATGAAGATATAGCTTTATCAAGTTAAACAATTAATTGACATTTGTCTGACCAATTTAAGATCAAAATTCCAAATGGAAAATTTCTGTGCAGCAATGTTAGCTTTGTAGCTAAATCTTCACAATGCCTCCTGCATCCAGCCATAAGATTGAGATAAAATAAAGGCAAATAGAGAAGGGGAATTGAAAGGCGACATGCATCTATCTGCATCATTTTCCATATAGTGCTACACATATAGCTGAAAATATATGCATGTCATTTGTCTTGTGATGCAGTTGGAAAAGATGCATCCACATTCACAATCATTGCTTTAAGCCAGCATGCCTGCACTCACCACACATTGCTGTAAATAGGTTTCTCTGAAGTCAGTCAAAGGCTCCAAGTTGAACAAGTCTTATTGAAATACAAAGTAAACACAACAATTTGGGAAACAGGCCTTGTGCCCCAGTATTACCTGGTTTTGAAAGCAGACATGCAAACAAAACCCTGGTATTTCCAGTTTGAAAAAGAATCTGAGAAATAGAATAAGAACAACTAACATTCTTAGCTGAAATATAAAAACCTGAGCAGGTTTGGGGTGAATTTCTGTCCTTGGAAGATCAAAGGAAGATATGGTAAACATTATCAAAGAACAGTGAATAAATATAAGAGCATATCCTCCTTCCAATTGTAACACAATTTTTAAAACTCATTTCCCCCCAAATTTGAATTTTCACCGTCAAATCCAGCTAAATAAGTTCACTTTAAACAATCCTAGTGAATGTTATTGTTAACATTAACAAGTCAATAAATGTATTATTTTAAATAAAACCTTTTTGGCTACTTTCCAGATTTTCTTCACATATGCAAACATTCTCCAAGCAAAATAAAAATATTCAACACATATAAGCAACGTATTAAATTAGAACACATCTACAGGGTTGCAAAAAAAACAACCATGTGTAAATATTACATGCAGGAGCAAAAAGATCCTGGCATGCTGATTAATTATTTCCAACCTTATTTGAGGATTGTGGCCAATTTCCTGAGTCCCTTAACAATTGGACTTTTCAGTTTCAATTTTTTTGAACTAATAGTAGGGAACCAGATGTTCATAGAGCTTAAAATGTGTATTTTTCCTAATTTGTTCAAGTACATCTTTAGTCATTGAAGGCAGGCAGGAGAATAATGTGCAGATTTTAAACAACATATAGAAGATTTACTTCACTGCCTGATCTATAATTTTGCTTTATTAATGCATTGCTATAGCCATTTCTTTTGCATGATATAGATATGTTATTTGTTCCTCACTCATTTGTTCCTTACCTTCTCTGATCTCTGTAGGGGCCTTAGAGTCAAGCCCAAAACACAAAGGAACAATATGAAATGTAACAATGACAAACATAACAAAACAAAAATCAAATCAAATCTGGGTAATTTGGTCTCTTTATCAGGGAACTGTTTGGATATCACATACTATTATAAATCTCAAAAGCCAGGCAACTTTATACAGGAAAGGCAGTCTTTCAAGTAATTAGATCCTAAACCACTAATTGTACAAATTGTAACCAGCACTTTGAGTGGTCTCCAGCAGCAAACCAGATATATACTAGACATTTCAGCAATGTGGGAGTGCTTCCTAAACTGGACAAGGTAGTTCTGCTTGAGACAAACACATTGTTTAATCTAATAAACACTTATTTTAATAAACACTTATTCCTAATCCGTCTCATATTTCTTTTGCAGAAGGATTTCAATGGACTCTTAGTACAATACTGGTAACAGGATAGCATTTTTCAGCATAAATGTCTATGGAGATTCCCAGTGATGCAGGTCATAGTTGTCCCAAAGGTGTATTTTCAAAAGGCAATTGGACTTTGTTTTCTTTTGAAGACGTTTTGCTTTTTATTCAGCTTCTTGGATGAGAAGCGAAATATCTTCAAGAAAAAACAAAGTCCAGTTGCCTTTTGAAAAAGCACCTTTGGGACATTTTTCAGCATACAAACAAGATATCTAGATCAGCAAGCTAGTTTAGGAAGTGTGAGCGAGCTGTCCCTCTCTGCGATAAACTTTTTAAATTTGGAAACAGATTTTCTAGTCTGGAATCAGAGCAGGATGGATATATTTGGAAGGGTCATTCTACAAGCCAAGAAGAGAAGTTATTCTGCAGCAGACGTTCCCCTCCAGTTCCACCCTTCTTATCTTACTCAGCAGAACGTCACATTAAACTCCCTGGGTGTGGATCAGTCAATTCCAGAGAATTTTGGGATCCCATGTGGGCTTGTATTAAAAGGAAAAGTACTGGCAATTTGAACTGATCCTATGTCCTGACTTCTATTGATAAATTATATATAGTGAATTGATTGTAGCTCTCAAAACTGACTTCAAGGCAATTCCACAGGGGAAACCTGACAATAATCTAACCATGAAATGGTTAGCAAAACTCTCTAAAGTTTCTACTTTGGAAAGTTTGCAATTGGCAGTGTAACTTTATTTGATACAGCCATTTACCTGTCTGGAGAAGTATTGGAACTCAGAGGAAAAAGTTTGAGCGTCTAAAACCTCAGTGCTTCTGAGTAGAGTAAAAAGGGGCAAATAGTCTTAATATATACTATATACTATTTGATTTCCTTTGAAAAATAAAGATTGAGCACAGATAACAGGCAACCAGGTAGATTCATTGTACTATGTTCCACCTCCAGAAACATCCAGTAGCTTCAAGAGCCATTGCTTGTGTTGAGCCACATACAAGTAATCACATGTTGCTCTGGTCTGTTCTGTTAACTCAGCAAAAATGAGCTTCTCTTTTTCACAGATTTCAGTTGCATTAAGTTGGTGGAGGAGGGAAGAAAATACCATTTATTTCGCAACCATTCTTATTATTCCATATCAACATTTTCAAAAGTTTCCATTGTTTTTCTAGCCAGGCATCTCCTTAAACCAGTATTTCTTAAAGTGTCCCTAAGACCCCCTCAGGAGTCTGTAAAATCAAAATTATTTGCCAGCCTATGTTGAAAAATAATACACCATTAAAATCTCACCAAATAATCATAAGAAGCAATAATGGCAGAAAATGCATCCCGTTCAGTTTTTAATACAATAAACATCAATAAATATAACGAATACCAACAAAACTTTTTGCGGATCCTGCATAATTTTAAAAAGTGAAAAGGCATCCTAAGAGAAGCAAAGCTTAAGTAAAGGAATAAAAATTGCGGACAAACCTGATCAATTAATTCTAAGCAATTTTAACTTAAGCAAGCTTTCAGGTTTCCTTATATTCTTTCCTGTTAGGCCTGCGTTACTTGTTCCAATAACCCATCTGGCTATTTTTCATCCCGCTCCTTACCAATTTCAGTTCAATTTCAGCTCCGCTTTAGAGTGTCAGAATATCATCCCCCGCCTCTTAACGTTTTCCTGTCTCTTTAAATAAATTCTGCTGCTTATTGGTGCGGCTGAAAGGGGAGAAGCCTTTTCTGTTCTCTGATTGGCTTCTCAGTCCACACCTCTTTTTACATGACGCCCTCGCCAGCCTTATCTTGTATTCTGCTTTGGTCGGGTGGCTCTTTCCTTCGGAGCCATGTGGTGCAGCCAGTTCTTTCGGTCCCCGTTTGTTCTGGGGCAATGCAGCCCTTCGCGGGCGCAGTCTGCTTTGGCCCAGCTCAAGCACCTGCTGGAGGGTGAGCTGGAGGGTATCCGAGGGGCCGGGACCTGGAAGAACGAGAGGGTGATAACATCAAAGCAAGGCCCGCATATTAATGTGGAAGGCAGCCGAGGAGGTAAGCCATTGGGAAAGAGAAAAGAAAGAGAAAAGAAAGAGAAACGGATCCTTGGGGAGAGGGATACAGAAACTTATTTGGCAATAGTTTCGGGGAAATCATGTTCCTCTTTCTTATTGAACTGACATATTTGGTAAGCAGAAACCAGACCACCATCTGATGTATGTTAATGGTGCTGGTAGCACTACAAGAAAATGAATTTTAAAAAAATCATGAAGTATAAGGCTTAAGTCAGTTAATTCAGAAGCTTGAGAGAGAGTTATTAACAGAGGGATAGAATCAAGATCACGGTTAAGTGTTAATACCACTTTATAATGNCACACACACACACACACACACACACACACACACAGAGTACCCTTTTTAATAACGCTGGCATATCAAGCTTCTCATTCACAAGATATGGCAAAATGATAAAGCCAGTTTAAAAATAATCAGCAATTTCATGTATGCTGTAATTTCATTTGTAAGAAAAACATATTAAATCACCTCCCTCTAAAAACGACCTTGACTGAACCAAGAGAAGTTAGCATATAATACTGCAGTCCAGTTAAGGAAGACTGTATTTTTGTTTATCCAGCCTCATTCTGATTAAACATGGTTTACTCTTATCAAATCAACCATAATGCTCATCGCATGGACTTGAATTCCAGATCCCTCTGGCTGAAAGGCGGCTGTGAATCAATTTGTCGCATTAACACAGCCATGAAAAGCCATGTAAGGGGAAATGTAGCTCTTGCGAATTACATTTGTAAGTTACGGCTGGGTTTGAAATAACTAAAATTCATCTTAAGGAAATCCTACTAAAAATTGTCAACTGTCCTCTGCAAAAAAAAAATCATTGTCGTTGCAGAGAGCCGTGTATGCGTCTCCACTCCTTCATTCTCTCATTTCATAACCCGCTCCCTCCCCGCCGCAATGCCTTTCTAGCAGCCGATGTGGTCCTTAAAGGATGACGCCGAAATTAAACTCGATGTTTGTCGTAAACCAACGGAGAAAGCGAACGGCACGTGCGTCCAGTACCCATCTCTGGCTATGGGAAACAAAGGAAAGGGGGGCTAGCCTCTTTCAGGCGATGCGTGTAGTCTGTGGAGAAGAGGAAGCGTGTGTGACCATCCAGAAGCATTACAGTCGCCGTCAGAGACGAATTGCAGGGAGGAATAACATTCCTATTTCTTCGATCCTCCCAAGGTTGGCGCTGTCAAGTAAGGTAGAAGCCTTCCTTCTCCGACTACATTTCCCACAAAGCATTGCTCTCACATTGTACGGTGGCCCTTCAGCCATACAAACCACTTTGACGGATTCCTCCCCCTCGGTAAGAATTAATCAGCTGATTGTTGAGAGCTCTTCAAAGAAACTATTGCTATTGTCAACAGAGAACTGTCAACGCGCTTACAACCCCATGGGGCTGTTGAATCGCTGGCCCTTATCGCAATCCTTTAAAATTCTTTAGTAAATACTTACACGGCTCATACAAAACTACTTTCCTGATATCTTGGCTTGTAGTAAACACTAAAGAAGCAGAATCCAACTTTATAATTTCAATAAATTAAACATTATTTCTTAACTTTCGGGGAAACGTGTTAGAATTTTACATTTTAAAACTTTTTATATCTTTGGTGAATCCTGTAAGTAACCTTCGATCTCACCGATTAATTTTTGTACATCCTCCTGCCATTTACAATCCTGGAATATGGGTAAATTTGAAATTTAATCTACTGGCGCAATCTGTTCCCCTATTACGTTCCTCGCAGTTTTTCGGTATAATGAGTCAAGGGAAAAGGCAGCCTTAAAAGAAAAGTTTCACATGAGTGTGTATTCCGCCCCGCCCAACCCCCCCCCCAACTGTCCAAATTAAAAGTAGCCTGGATATAAAAAACAATATTTATTTTCAATAATGTGCATGATACTGAGATAGTGATAAAGGATAGAGATTAGTGAGCCTAGATCCTAATCATTTGACAAAGCAATATGATTACCAATCCCAACTGTTTTCCGCGATGTCGAAGTCAAAGCAATTAAATCGAGAGACGGGTCGGGGGCTGGGGCCAAGGCCCTTCCCCACCCTCTATAGCCACCAACTTACTTGGAAGTCAGCGAGTAACATCGGGAGTTAGAGAGAGTAGAACAAGCCGCCTTGTGGTTTAACTCTATTCATCTGTCCTTAAACACCCCCCACCTCCCCCACCCTACGGGGGTCTCTACTTTCTCCAAGTCGAGGGACGCCAGCTTTCTCCCTTCTTTTTTTGAGTCTAAGGAAGCTTCCCAAGAGAAAAGACGCAGGCATCGCAAAGGTGCTGACGTTTTATTATTCGCATTCTACTGCTGCCATATAACTGCATCTCATGGTTTTGTGCTTAAAACAAAATAAAACACATATTGCTAACTCACTTTTTGGAACTGAGAAGCGACGGGGTATTTTAGAAACGGGGAGAGGTGCGAATGTACCGGGACGTGTTTTAGGGGTGATATTCTCCGTGTTGCTAGGATGCCAGTTCGATCTTACATTTCTCTCTTTTTAAAAAAGTATTCGGAGGTGCGCTTATTTTTTTTTTTAACTTTTCCTCCCGAGTTTTTCCGATACCAGAAACCGACACCTAGGAGCTCCGAGTCTTTCAGGTTGCAGCCACGACGCTTTTCATTAATTTCTTTATCAACAACAATAAAAACAACACTCCTAAGAGGGGAGAAGGGGGGAAAAACAACCTCAGTTCTTCCAGCAAGATGGCGATTGCACGTACATGTAGTCTTCCAACAGTTAAGCCCTCCGCCAAGGCTGGCAAATTAGGGTTAATTCATTTAGGGAAATGGCTCTTCAAGCCCCTGTCGCCTCTTACCCCCTTCGCTTCTCGGGAACTTAGGTTGAGAAAGTGTTTAAGTAAGAGGAGAAACTCCACCTTGAAAAGCCCAAACAAACAGCTCGTATAAATCTCCACTGTCTTTTAGTGGGGGACAAAATAAATCGGGGGGCCGGGGGCACGAAGGCAAGTTGAGCTGGGGAGTGATGAGAGGTGTCTGAGATAAGTCGATAAGTGGGGTACTTAGGCAGTGGGGGTGTTGTGTCCCCCTCCCCTTTCCCTCTTATGTAGACATATAGTACTTATTATTTTGATCCCATTGCAGGCAATGAAGTGCGTTTGGGGGTAACGGGGGGCGACTGAATAAAGACCCCATTCTGCCCCTCTTCGTCCGAAGTCAAAAGGAAGATCCAGATGCGTCCCCAAGCCAAGTGCCCCCCAATTCCAAGCAGGGGGCTGCCAGGTGGACCTTGGGGGAGGGGATGGCTGCAAACTTCCCATCTAACAAAAAGGAAAGTTTTCTCAGCGCTAGGACTTGGGGAGGGGGCAGCTGGAGGACGGGACCCACAGCATGGGGGGCGAGGGTCCCCCCAGAGACACCCCCAACCCGGGGGGAGCCGCTCCCCCCACCCTTCCTGGCCAGGTCTTAGCTGAGTCTCGGCTGGCTCGGGGCTCCCTGTGTTAGTTGGGGTCTGCTCCAGGGCTCCCCGCGCGGCTCTTGGGGCTCTTGGAGTGCCGGAACAGGGGTTTCCCGTTGGCCCAGGGGTGCCTCTTGCTTGTCGCTTTCCCTCTTGGCTGGGCTCCCCTCGGCTGCTTCGCTAGGGGGGAGCAAAGGGGAAATGTCGAGGCGCCCCACTCGCACCCAGCGCCGTTTGGGGCGCCCTGAAGCGGCGGAGGACGGCTGCAGAGGGAGCCGGCCGCGGGGACCAAGAGCACAAGGACCGGAGCAGCCGACGGCAGTGGTGCGGAACCCAAGAGCCGCGGGCAGAAGCGGGAAAAAGCCGCTTTAGGCGGCGGAAGAAACACAGATGTCGGCGGCGCGGCGCCATTCGGGGCCTGAACAGGCAGCCAGCAACCCTGTCCTCACCGCGGTCCGCGCCTGAGCGCTAAATACCCGGATGCGCCGGCTGCTGCCTAGAGAGCCAGACACAGAGCAAGAAGCGGAGGCAGGGCGCAGCAGAAGCTGTCAGAAGAGGTGGGGAATTGAGTCCCAGAGAGAGAAAGAGAGAGAGAAAAAGAAGGCAAGCAGGAGCTGGGCTTGGGCACAAAGCAGTCCCCAAGCCTGAGTGCGGACACCTGCTTCCCTGAAAAGACTGGTGAAGCAGAAAGGCCTTAGCCAGAGCTGCTTCTCAGGAGGGGGCATTCTGGAAGAAGACTGTCCCTGACCACACCCTGCCACCAGCTGCCTGGAAAGACTGTCAGGAGGGGACATCCTCCTTGGACATTTAAAAAAGAACTCTTGTCAGAGAAACTGTTGGCGAAAGTTCAGTATCATCTCACCAGGATCTTCTGTACCACGCAGGCTGCTGGGAAGAAGTCCCCACGTGCCTAAAGAAAGTTTAGGACCATCCCTGGTGGCTTAGACACCAGACTTCTCTTTCTGAAGGGAGACTGCGCAGCAGGATGACTGAAAACTCTACCACGGCACCTGCTGCCAAGCCCAAGCGGGCCAAGGCGGTCAAGAAGTCCACGGACCACCCCAAGTACTCTGACATGATTGTGGCCGCCATCCAGGCTGAAAAGAGCCGGGCTGGTTCTTCACGCCAGTCTATCCAGAAATACATCAAGAGCCACTACAAGGTAGGGGAGAATGCAGATTCCCAAATCAAACTGTCCATCAAGCGGTTGGTCACCACAGGTGTCCTGAAGCAGACCAAGGGTGTCGGAGCTTCAGGTTCCTTCCGCCTGGCCAAGAGTGATGAACCCAAGAAGGCTCCAGTCAAGAAGGCCAAAAAGGAAGTCAAGAAGGCTACAACACCCAAGAAAGCCGCTAAGCCCAAGAAAGCTGCTGCCAAGTCACCGGCCAAAAAGCCTAAGCCTGCAGCCAAGAAAGCCAAAAAGAAGCCAGCACCAGCTCCAAAGAAAGCCAAGAAGCCAAAGACTGTCAAGGCCAAGCCGGTGAAGGCCTCCAAGCCTAAAAAAGCGAAAGCCTCCAAACCCAAAGCAAAGTCCAGTGCAAAGAAGTCGACCAAGAAAAAGTGAGGGGCGAGTTTGGGACTTCTTTCTTGGAACTTCTTCTTGACCTCTATTCTGTAAATAGATTTCTTCTTTATTCTCTACTCATTTCTATTGCAGCTTTATAAAGACTGAACAATTCTTGCCCTATACTTTAAAAAAAATATTCATATGGAAGCTACATTGGGGGTTTTGTTTTGTTTTTCTATTGTAATTTGAAAGATTTTTATGTCATTATTTTATTTCCCTTCTCTATTAAGGTATGCAATACATGTGTCTAAGCATGAGGGAAGATTAATGAGGGAAATCCTAGTGTTCTTATTTTTGGAGGAAGATTTGAGAAATATTTGATGGAGGGGATGTGTTATATATGGTGGGCCTCCTTTAATTGGATCTCCTCGACTGAATATACCCACAACTGATCATTGTAAATGCCTTTTAAGAAAAACAACTGTTTTATCATGGATGAATAAGCTTCCAATTTAGCTAATATGGTGGATGATTGTTTCTAGACCTAGTGAAGGCTGGATTGGTTGAGGTTAATAAGCTTTCCACTGACTTCATTTTTCAGAAGGGGACTGTGCTATTTACAGGAAAGATTGAAATGGGGATCAGTAAAAAATATTGGAAATATTTGTATTTCTCCCTATTAACATTTGTACATATTGGCCACATTGGAATAAAGTGAGGATGTTAAAGCTGTTCCTCAAAAGAAAATAGAAATAATAAAGGGGGGAGGGTGCACAGACTCTGATCACCATCTGGTTCTGGCAATTTCAAGAGAAAGTGTTACAAAAGCTATCTGTTACCTGCTATTGCAATCTGGATGCCTCCCAATTCTGCAGTGTCTGCCACCTAAAATTACAACTTTTATATAAGAAGTATAATCTACAAGATTCCTCCCAGCCTTCATTTTTTAATTATGGTCTTTTGAGGGTAAGGAAGAACAAACGTTAGGGGATAATAGATAACACAAACGTAGCCAATATTGAATCTAGGAAGCTGTATACAATTATTGCTAAGATTTGGAATGGTTTTCCCCCAAGAGGGGAGTGAAAAACATAATTTTAAGTACTCCAGATTTTAAAAATTAAATATGCTTATGTTTAAACAAAAGAAAATTCTTATAGGATTGATATCTGATCGTTCATTTTACTTTGTATGTGTAATTTTGTGCAAGAAAGATTTAGCCGTCTTTGTAATTTTAGGGTTTAAAATAAAATGTAAAACAAACTAATATTTTAGTTATTCTTCATTTACATTATGTTGTGTAGAAATCATTTTNACAGGTGGGGGGAAGGAGCTGGAACCGGTTCTAAACGGCACTGTAGATTTGTGGAACCTCTTCTATAGAAGAGGTTAGAACTGGCAGGAACCCACACCTGGATGTCACATAACATAATGCTACTTATGTCTCTTACCTACTTGGTGCAAGAAAATGAGATTGAAGAAAACCATGATTAATCAATGTATGCCTGCACTGTGGTTTGTATCGCCAAAAATATGGATGTAGATTGTTCAACCTGCATGGGTAATAGTGATAGCTGTGGCCATTTATTTTGGGATTCTTTTTCTCTTACTTTCCAAATTTTCAGAATATACATAAGGATCTGGAGGAGAAGATCGCTCGTTTCCATCAAAGAGAAGACGCCATTCTCTACATCAGCTGCTTTGATGCCAATGCTGGGATCTTTGAGGTTGTTAACTTTGTGTAAATAGGAGATTGATGCGATAAGGGATGGATTACCCATCACAATTGTAAAGCAACCATATTTGTAGTAATTTCGGAATGATTCACTGTACTAGCGCTATTACAATAAATAACAAAAAATGTTTTGATCCTTCAACCATGATATTATGGTACAGTGATTAGACTCATATGATTTATGATATAATATGATTTGACCTGGTTTAGTGTATTGTGTGAATCAAATGTATTTATTCATGGTTAAACCATGGCTTAGTGTGGCATACAACATTCCAGAAATTTGTATATGGAAATAGATGTAGGAGTATAAAGAAAAACACGTATAGAGATGTCAAAGGAAAATAAATGTTTAAGTAAAAACTTTTTATAATTTGTTATAATCTGTGTTATAATCTGTTATAATTTGCATGTATACACAATACAGAATAAACATACCAGCATTCCAAATAGCAACAATAAGTGCCTTAGCAATGTTAGAATTCCCATTTGTGATGGGATTGTTTTTTTATAACTATTCTATTTGTTTTCTGGTATTTACAGGCACTTCTGACGCCTGAAGATGCAATACTGTCAGATGAATTGAACCATGCCTCCATAATTGATGGAATCCGTCTTTGTAAAGCCAATAAGTATCGTTACAAACATATGGATATGCAAGATCTGGAAATCAAGCTGCAGGAGGCACAGGTTAGTGTCTGGGTGGCTCCTAGATTGTTCAGTCGTACAGATCAGCCAAAAACCAAAGCCAAACAAAATTCTCGGAATCTTTAACTAGCCAGAATCCCTCGTCTATACTCTTGTCACCCACTGTTCTGCATAGAAATGTCGTTTGCGGATGGTGGCTACAGATGGTGCTTTTTCCATGGATGGTGATATTGCCCCGTTAAAGGAAATATGTAGCCTCGCTCAGAAATACAACGCCTTTGTTTTTGTCGATGAATGTCATGCCACTGGATTTCTTGGGCCTAATGGCAGGTAAGAAACTATTACTTTTTTCTGATGGAAAGGATGTTAGAAAAGCAGCTATATAGTGACTATATGTGTTGACAATAGCAAATTAAAATTTGTTTCTGTGTTGCTTTTTGTCAAAAAAAAAACCCATACATTTTTATAACACATACAGCAGGATATACGTATGTATACACAACCTGCTCTCTGACTTTTCATATCAAAATATCCTCAATTTCTTAAATAAACTGTGATTCCAAAGCACACTGCAAAGCAATAGCAATAACACTTGGACTAGAATCATGGACTAGAATGGAAGTTAAGTCATCATAAAAAGTTTGATGGAATAAGGATCTGCTTAAAGGATGATTATAACGATGTGTTTACCATTCTGCTTGTAAAATGACAACAGGTACAATGCATTCTGTACTGTATTTACATTTGTGTGAAATTCTGTATATAAAGGGAAGTATTTGCCTTTTATTTGTGCTTGCACTACCTCTTGTACATAGGTCAATTTTTTTCTCAGACTGTTTCTGGGAATACTTTTGAGGATTGATCATGAGTTGGACAAGACTGTTGCTGAGTTGGACAAGACTGTAATAATGGCTTGTATTCTATTAGAAGTTACAGGTTTTCCCTTTCAAAATAGGTCTGTGATGGCTAATCTTTTTGGTGGTGAGTGCCCAAAGTATCCATGTGCGTGCACACCCCAAAATTCAATGCGAGCCCACTGCACATGCGCTCCCCTGTGCATGCACACACATCCCCCACATATACACCCCCTCACCCATTTGTGGCTTCCCAACCCCCTGTGCATGCTCTAAGCCCCCTCCTCCGTGCCCCATTTTGGCTTCCCAACCCCCTGTGCATGCTCCAAGCCCCCCCTCCCCCGTGCCCCATTTTGGCTTCCAGGTTGGTGCAGGAGGCCTTCCAGGACTGAAATGGGGCATGGGAGGGCACGGCTCCCCTGCACCCTGTTTTGGCTTCCAGGTTGGTGCAGAAGACCTTCCCAGCCCAAGCAGAGTGGGGGGCACACGCACACATGACTCCCAAAATGCAATGTGAGCGCCCACTCACATGCACCCCACACACGCACCCTGCATGCACAGTCATCCTGTGCATGTGCAGCAGAGACCCAAAAACCAGCTGACTGGCGCGGTGGAGCTGGGCTGGGGTGACAGCTGGCGTGCCCACAGAGAGATCTATGCGTACCACTTGTAGCAATCTGGACCATAGGTTCACCATCACGGGACTAGGTAGTTGTTTGTATCCTTATCTTCTGAAAAATGACAATGAAAGGGCAAGGCTACAGCAAGTGTAAGCATGCTGATTTTGGATTGTTGTCACTTCGAGTTGAACTGCCTAGACTATTAAGATTATTTTCTCCCTGCAGGGGCACTGATGAGCTTTTGGGAGTGATGGATCAAGTAACTATAATCAACTCAACACTTGGAAAAGCTCTTGGGGGAGCAGCAGGTACCAGTTTCAGCTAATGCTTTTAACATATAGTTTCTAAACCTTGGAAGCTTTTTTAGGAAAGACAGGGCAATTTATTTTCTATTTTAGCTCACTAATGTATGCCTTGCTTTACATCAAAAACAGTTTTGCAGATCTTTCTGCTCCTTTCATGGAAATAAGTTTGAAGGAGACCAGGGATCTATGGTCTTGTGCCATAACTGAAGACACCATCTTTGCCTATTCCAATCTGGTACTTTCCAGATGTGTTGGATACCAATTTCCATCATTCCTTGCCAAGATGGTAGGCTTCATTTTGAGGAAGGCTGTGCAAGACAGAAGTTTGCATAAGAAAAAGCAATTTAAGAGAATGATTGAACTGTCTGGTCATAGTACTATTTCTGTCCATTTCCTGGTCACCTGTAGCTCCAGGGAACGTATCACATCAAACTAATTGATCCACCAACACCACACAAACTTTTTTATGAAAGGGGGAGGCATTGAATAAGTTTTATCTTCCCGTAGCTACGTTCCTTCACATTGTTTTTCTCCATTCTAACTACGGAGGGGGTCAAACTCCCTTTTGAAATGAAATCCTAGCCAAGCCTCCCACCATATACAACCCTCTAAATACTACCTCTGGCATAATCTATGTGACCATTAGATAAAACTGGGTTGGCTGCAGGCCACATTCAGTCAACCATTTTTTGCCCTGATGAAATTTAGCAGCAAACCACCAAATAATATCAACATAATTTTCTTCATGTTGGGGCTAAATGAGAAGTAACAAGTGTATTAAGCCACCGAGAGGAACAACAGCCCTATTTTAAGCGATAGAAAAAAAATGAAAATTCAAGCTTCACCCCACCCTATGCTGGCTTTAGCTCTCTGCACCTACATACCTTAGCCATTCAAAAATATAGTTTCTGATCACAAAAATATTGTTTAACTCTCCTTAAGGAAAACAAAATAGTTTGCCTGTGTTTGCCATTAACTTATTCTTCCTGCATCTAATGCGGGTTCCTTTCAAAAGTGAAGAAAAGAACTTGGATACTCTTTAGGCTGAATGTTGCACTTTTCTGCACAAGTGTATGAATTATCAAGAGGAGCACAGACCGCCAGTTACTCATTGAGAAGATTCCATTGGGATCTTCGATCTTTGTCTGGATTATACAAAGAGAAAAAATACAGTGTGTCAGCTTCTTGGAAGACTTATTAGGGGTTACAGGTTGATGAAACTCAAGCCTTGGTGCCTGTAATAGAAAAATCACTACAGCATAAATTTGGACAATTGGCAAGACCTATGCGAAAGAAACAGAAAGTTAACCTTAGCCACCTCATATAAGGAAAACTTATACAAGAGGTATAAGTAGGTGGCACATCCCACCTACAAGATTAGCTAAAATTAAGAAAAACTTATTGCTACGATGTTGGAAATGTAATGCTGCACTAGAGACCTTCTACCATATGTGGTGGGAGTGCACGAAAGCTAGAGCTTTTTGGCACCAGATAAGAAAGTATTTGGAAGAGATGCTAAATGAAAGGATAGAGTTGAGGCCAAGATTATTTTTATTAGGGATCACAAAAGAAAAATAGGACAAAGGTGGATTATATTTAATGCTGCATATTTTAACAGCGGCAAGACTGGTTTTTGCACAAAAATGGAAAAAAAAGTTTGCTCCGAAACGCCCTCGGAACAAGAAATAAGATACGCAGAAATGGACAGATTGACTCTAAAGCTCAAAGGCAAGAGTTGTTGTAGTTTATTTATAGGCCGCCCTTTTCCCTGAGGGGACTCAGGGCGGCTTACAATCAAAA